ATTTTTTCAAAGCAAAACCTTTGAAGGCGGGTAATAGGACAATAACTCACAATCTTTAAGTTGTTTAATTTAAATTTTAATGCTTAAAAAAGCAAGGGGGGCGACATGTTTCGGGGAATTTAAACTATTCCCATCATCAGGCCCAAAGCTAAAACAATTACAGAGGTCAAATTTATAAAATACAATCACAACAAGTTAAAAAGTCAAAAATTTCTACAAAGTCAAAAAATTATATCTATCACAAAAATTGTTCAATCACAGATAACAATATGGTATGCTAAATTTGAAAAATTAAAAACAACTAGACTAAAATCATAAGGTGAGGGGAGCCGTATAATCAGCTATAATTAGATAAATTGAAAGAAAAAACAAGGCAATAATCAAATCATACCTCAATGCACAATTCAAAGGAATTTACTTAAGCATTAGTTAAATTTATTTTGAGTAATATATTTTTTTATATATTTTTTTGTATTAGTAATGTAAGTTGGGAATTAATTATTTCAATTTGTATATGCTGATATTCAATTTTGTAGGATATTTTTTTTTTTAGTTATGTTAGTTAGGAACAAGTTAAGAATTATGTTTATTTTTTAATTAGTATATGTTGAATTGTAATTTATATTTCAAATTTATATATTGTAGAAAATTAATATTTACTTTAGTTTAATTTTTAGAAATTTAATATTTATTTTAATTTATGTATGTAGAAGAATTATTTTTTATTTTAATTTAATTAAACTTGTGTTCTTTAAAATAAAAGCATACTCACACAAAAGTCACCTAGGAAGTACAACCACTCGGAAGAAATATAATTAGTCAATTAGTTAGAGCTGTTAACATTTACACAACTCATTCATTGTAATTATAAATTGCATAACTCTTCAAGAAGGAAGCCTTTCGTTGTAATACCAAATAAATGTCTATATCATAATTTTCAGACCATCTTATTTCGATTTTATATTTTAATTTAATTATATATATATATATATATATATATATATATAATTATATATATATATATAGTATATATATATATATATATATATATATATATATATATATATATATATATATATATATATATAAAACAGTAAACAGTAAAATATTTAATACTGCATGTAAAAAAATACCGTATGATCGAAAATAAACGGCGTCCAGTTGGTTGGGAAATGACGATCAATGACATTTCCCATATAAATTTACATATAAAAAATGACAGCGATCTTCATTTCATAGCCATCGCTGACGCCGTTTTTTTTTCGATCATACGGTAGAAGTTTTATTTTTATCCGGATTATTGTCTAGTGATAAAATTTTGCATATTATAGTATTAGGTATAAAGTTCATACCATTTAATATAGTGGAGAAAAATACGACATTTAGTTTTGACTCGTCCTGTATATAAAAAAACAAGATTGCAAATTATGGTAGACCGAATTTTGAAGAAGACAGTATTATACCGTATTTCCCATTAAAAAAATTACAAATCTTCAAATTTGGCATTATGGTATTTTTGGAACTGAAATCTTGTGGCAAATCCACTGAGCTAAAAAATATATAGTATTTCATTTAAAAATATACAACTTTCGTTTGAAAATGTAAACCTGTAAGCACCCTGTATGTTGTCAAAAATATTTTCATGATGTGCGATACTATTGCTCCTATATTATGTAATAAACCTGAAATGATATTCAAAAACCAAAAACCTAATATAGAGCTTTTTCGGAAGCCTGAATCACCCTGTATACCGAGTGCGTCTCACCCCTATAACTTTTTTTATTTGGTACGTTAGTATACCGTGCTGGCAACTGTTTCTTTTGGTTCGATATTTACATGTGTGGAAGTAAATCGCATAGGGATCTTATTAAGTCGGAGTGAGAGAAACGCGACGGTGTGCTGTTGCGGCGTTGCCGGTACGCCTTTCCTATCAAGTAAAGTAAAATCACGACGGTAAACCGTTTATTTTTAAAATACTTTTTTTTTCGAAAAAATAACTAGATAAAATCATTAGATATGTTTCTGAGCATCTGAAATGGAATTGTAAGTATATCGTTAAGGTGTCCATTTTTTTTAATAACAAGAAAACGTCAGTAATCGCAATAATTTAAAAACTCAACATTTTAACACATAACACGCCATAGCTTAAGAACCACTTTAGATATCGAAATTTTTTTTTATTTTGAAGATCGGATCTTTTGCGATATGTTTATAAGAAAAATTCGATAAGGTTGTTTTTTCCATTCAAAAATTTTAAACAATCCATTTACCGAATCCAATCCGATCCATTTACTTTTAGTGAAGAGCAATTTTCAGCAATCGTGTAACTCTTTATTTATATAGATTTTCACATATTGTCTGCTAAGAAAATATAGCAGAAATGTTAAGAAAGTTTTTGAAAAAAAAACTACAATCAATTATTTCTAATAGATTTCGAGATATCGACTTTTGATTTTAGAGTTCTAATAGCGCGACCACTGTCGAACACCAACTCAATTCCGTTTATTTTTACCAAAAATGCAAGTGTTTCTAATTTGCAATTAAAAATTTTCAAGCTATAGGGAAAATTACGACTCGTTAATAAATAAACAAATAAAGTATCACGAGACGTAATTAAATCGTGAAAAATAAAGTAGTCTTGTGAAACAGGAAGTGACCGAAAACAATTGAATACGTCAATCAACCCTAATTTGTATCATATACTAACACACTAAATCTCGGTATAATGAACTTTAAAATAATGAAAATTTACAGGTGTTCATATTTCGACTCAATGTAGTTTTTTATCCATATCTATAACACCTCTTAAAATACTTAACTTATTTAAGACACATCCTGTATAAGAGACATGACCCCCGTGCCCTCCGTGGCTTCATTTATATGACCGCCACTGCTAAAAGAATTAGTGGGACGGATGTGAAAATTCCGTTTTTCTTTTCTCTTGTTTTTTTTTTCTTGCAGTATATCTATACGTTCATGTCAAACTTGTCTCCCACAAGGTAAATGAAAAAGGTATTGTGTTTGGCATTTATTCGGAAAGGAACGGAGGCAGAACCGAATGGAAATATGATATCAAAGGATAGGGTTAATCGGTAATAATTGTTTATTGTTGTGTTTTCTTTGGAAAGTCTTTTGTTAGGTATAAATAAAAATGCCATTATTGGACTCTTTTCACCGATTATTATTTGTGATATTCTCTTTTAAATATTACCTTTATTTTATTACTTTTTTATTGATACAATAATTATTTTTTATTAATATTACTGTAATAGAATCCTTGCTATATCGCAAAAATCATAACAAATCTAAGTCGTATATTATGTAGCAATATACTATTACCTTGGTATATACTATGTTTCAAAAACATAGAATGTAAAAAAATGCTAAGTCGCGCAACACAATTCCTCCGCTATAAAAAGTTGTGAGATCTCATGTAAAACCAAGTCAGTTTATTTTATTTATTTAGTCTCTCTTTAAGCACCTATTCAACAATTTTGATATAAATTGTCAGTATCAATAGTCATCTTTATTTCTATAATAATTATAATGACTTAGCAATTGCATGCACGGCACCATAATTATAAAAAGGAATAATCTACTATTTCGATTACTAAGTAAATCTAAACTGTGCACTTAAGAATATAGTTTTTTAATTACTATAGAATATCATATCGTGAAACTGCCAAGTCATTATAATTATTATAGAAATAAAGATGACTAATATTGATACTAACAATTTATATGAGTAGGTGCTTAAAGAGAGACTAAGTAAATAAAATAAACTGGAAGGATTTAAATGGAAGTAGTCTTGGTTTTGAGCCATTTCTGGCTCCAGTTCAATCAGCAATCGACATGAAAGAGAATTAAAAACTTTTGTCTCAAAACTGACAACTAAAGAGAGAGGTTTATTTATTTGTCAGATTACATAGAAACCTCGATAGAAACCCACGTCAGCCCAGCACAATATTTTTTCTACTCGTAATAAATTCCTTGAGATAATAATTTCTGAATATTTTTTAAAACGTAACTCGCTATGGAAAAAATATTGTTTTATACACGACTATAAAATCGCATTATCGCACGTAACAAAGTTTCACTGCAACGTGCGTAAAAAAAGTTTCACTTCAAAAATGAATCTTATTTTTACGCGAGAAATCTCTCCAAGAGAGATGGCACATGTCTTTTGAAACACCCTGTAGATATTGTGTACTTTCAGCCAGTGGAGTTCGATAACTGAACAGAATAAAGTAATTAGCTGAAATTATAAAAAAAATCTCTGCAACGTTTTAAGTGATTCTATAACTCTTCCCGCCCCCCAAACGCGCTTTGTGGGGCTGCGGTACAGCCCGGGGCAGGAGAATGGCGCGCGTCTCCGCATGCATATCGGCCCTAATTCGCAAATCGGGTCCCGATATGTTTGTGGGAACGGGAACAGGCCCAGGAGGCCCGCGGCTACGGTCTCGGCCCCAACTGACCGACGACGGACCGGCGAGATGGGACGCCTCAGGCCTCGCATGTGGACGGATACATTTGCGAACATGGACGCTCGCTCTCCGCTCCGATTTCCATTGGAGGATACGGCAGATCAGGAGCGTCGACGCTTGTCGGGGGAATGGGGGAGAAGGTGTATAGATTAATTTCAGGTTTGTAGATTAAAAAATACCTTTTTTCAACTGTTAAAATTACCTTAAAATTGCAACTGTTAAAATTGCCTTATATCTATCAAAAATAGTAGATAAAATAGTACTTTAATTGCAAGGGTAGATTAAATTATACTTTAATAGCGAGTATAGGTTAAAAACTTTATTTCTTCTCCCACGTTTTTTAATTCCTTCCATTGTTGAAAATTTTTGTATTCCTTTTCATAAGTTATTCGGGATTTAAATGGAAGTAGTTTGGAATAGTCAACGGCATAAGGATATGGAAAGCAACGGGATGACTACCATATTAAAGATCTTTAAAGATATCCCCGGGACATTGTCCTGTAACTCTTCTTTATCATGTCAGGAAATCTGAACAACACGGCCCTCAGTCCCGGGCAGATGTTCAATCATCAGAGGGTGCTAAGAATCCCCCGGCTTGACATGAGAAAGACTAAATTGCGCTTTGGGACTTGGAATACCAGAACACTTTTGGCGGCAGGCAAACTTGATAACGCCGTAAAGGAAATGCTCAGACTCAATGTCGATATCCTTGGAATTAGCGAAACCAGATGGACAGATAGCGGCGTATGCGTGAGGAATGGGACGACATTTTACTACTCAGGGAACAGTGATCCGAACCATAGAAACGGTGTGGGATTTATCGTGAGAAATAATATTAAGAAGTCCGTCCGAAATGTTGTTGGGTTTTCGGGCAGAATCATTCTACTGCAAATGAATGCTAGCCCAACAAATATAAATCTTATCCAGATATACGCACCTACAGCAGATAAACAAGATGAAGAGGCAGAGGAATTATACGGACAGATACAGGAGGTGCTTCGATCTTTGAAACCCCATGAAATCACGATAATCCTCGGCGACTTTAATGCTAAGGTTGGAAAAGGCAGAGTTGCTGATGTGGTAGGCGCCTTCGGACTAGGTGAAAGAAACGGACGTGGGGAACTCCTCCTACATTTCTGTAAAGAGAATATGGTCATAAAGAACACATTTTATAAACTTCACCCACGGAGGTTATACACGTGGAAATCTCCGCAAGATAGCTATAACAACATCGTACGTAACCAAATAGATTATATATTAATTAATAGAAGATATCAAAATAGTATCAAAAGGGTTGCCGCTTATCCTGGTGCCGACATCGGCTCTGACCATAACCCCCTGATCGCAGACTTTCAATTTAGACTCAAACTAATATCGGAGAAAAGAACAACAACACAGAGACATTATAACATTGATAGACTGAGGGAACCAGCAGTTCCAGACAGAATGAAATTCGAATTAACAGAACTATGGGCAAGTAATAACAACAATCTGCCACGCCCTTTCTAATTTGAAGTTCAATAAAACACAAGTTTACTTAATGCAGAATGAGTTACATAGAGGCCACTAGCTTTTTAATTTTAACAGCCGGGTGGTCGGAGTTCAAAAATATTAATAAAAGGGCGCCACGAGATTATACTCTATGAACTCGGCAATAAAGATGTAACTATTAAGTAGACTTCAACACTAACCTCGAACTGTTGAGTGCAACTACCATGAACTTCAAATATGCTATAACTCGTTAAACTTAAGTGACTCTAACTTAACTATGAGACTAGACTGTAAATAATACTACTAAAAATATTTAAGCAATTTATTAAAATATTAAAAAATTAAATATACAGGGTGTCCCAGAAATAAGTGCAAATATTTTAACTGGTAGTATAGTTCAATCCCAGAAACACGCCTATGAGGTTTTTTTTGCGAAAAAAAATGTTGAAAATTTAAAATTTTTCTTGACATTTTCCGGGAAATTTGAAAAAACTTTTTAGTGCCACTTGTTTATTCACCTGAGATTTCCCTAGGGTGTATCTAAACCTTGCAGTGTTGCAACCTCCTATGTTATCGACATTCTACATAGTTCGGCGGAACATAGTTCTACATTTATAAATTCATAGAGTAGAAATTTGCTACTCAAAAAATTAGGAATGTTAAATTTAACCTTTTATCAGTGCTCATTATTAATAATTATAGAAAAAGAACACATTAATTATTTTTAGTACTTACCCTTTCAATGAAAACTTAAAACCACCGAAAATTAACTAAAACATTACGTTTATGACGTTTACGAAAATCTTTGTTATGCTGCAAAATAACTTTATTTTGGAATAAATTTAATAAAATGATTCATATTATTCACAATCAGGTCACAAAAAAGAAATTTCTAAAATGTTTATCGTAATTTAGTTTATCGTCAATTCAAGAAATTTAGAAAACAGCCCAACGAATAATCGATTCATTTTTGTTTTGTTTGATTTCTTTCATGTTTCTCTGTTTTATTTGAACCACTGTTTTACAGAATACCTTGAAAAGCGCACATTACTTTGAATACCTTTCTCAATGAATAAATGTTGAGAGTCTCTTATCGCCACTTTACGAAGTACTTTCAATCTAAGAAAATTCATGTTTCACTCAACAATTTTAAATAGGAGGTAAATATTTTGTTTTTTCGCTATTTTTTCGATGTATTTTGATAATTCCATCGACAGCCTAACCGTCAACCAAGAGCACCGTGTGTGAACTGGTCCTTTGAATCGCCGATCGCCGCGCCGTCGTGGCGGGCTTGCGTCAGACGACGATGTTAAGCAACGTTGCCGTAGTTACAACAATTTCAAATTCAAGACATTCGAAGCAATCAAATTCATATTAAATTTTAAAAATAAAACAGAGAAACATGAAAAGAAAGAAACAAAACAAAAATTAATTGATTATTCGTCGGGCTGTTTTCGATGTATTGAATTCTGAATTACGATAAACATTTTAGAAATTTCATTTTTGTGACCTTATCAATAACCAATTCATTTGTGTTTTGTTTGTTTCCTTTCATGTTTTTCTGTTTTATTTTTAAAATTTAAAAAGAATTTGATTGCTTCGAGTGTCTTGAATTTGAAATAGTTGAAACTACGGCAACCTCGCATGACGCAAACTCGACACGGCGGCGCGACAAAGAAGCAGTTACCAGTTACCAGTGATGCGCGGGTCTCTTGGCCGGCGCGCATTTATGCCGATCCTAATGGGTTCGGTTATATAGGTAATTTCCGCACATCTGATTGGTCAGCGCCGTTAGCTATGTTTAACGTTTTAGGTTATGATATATTTGTTTCATTGATTTGTTTACTTCTGACTTTTGTAAAATAACATAGTTTATGATAACATAGACAAAGATTGAATGATTTATAATAGTTACTGGTTATATATTCTTTGGTAAATTAGGAGTACAAATCCATCGATAAATAGGATCCCTTGTCTCTGTAAATAGGTACGTCTTTAATCGATGCACTAACCTTTACGCCTAGGTACCTACCTTCCTACCTATTATATTCTTTGGTACAAGTTTATCCTAAAAATGGAAACACAAGATACGGTAATAGAAGATTTGCCATCAGGATACAGCTACTTATTTAGTAATCCAAATAGTTCAAAAGAAAGTATAATACGTATTAAAGAAGTGTCGGATCAGTCATCTGCAGAAGTAAGTATACATGCTACAAGTTCCATGTAATTTATTACATTATTCTTAAAGTGTACTTGTATTTTTACTCATATTCATTTAATTTATAGGTATGGCTCAATAGGTATAGCCACCATACAAAAACAACTTGGAGGAAAGCTGCCACATACCCAAATAGTGGAAAGGTTAATATATTTCGAGTGGATTTACGTTGTGTACACTTAACAGATAAAAGAGTAAAAGGAGTGCGTTCGTCGAAAAATACTGGTTGTCCAGCTAAATTAAAGATAATTATTAAAAGGTTAGTTTAAATTTACGCATCAAATCGATGGTTGAAAAGCAAAGAACCAGATCGAAAATCTTTAAATTAGGAGGACTTAAAGTTATTTTTTTTTTATTTTAAAAAGTAATAATTTTTCTCTCGACATGCGATTTTTTGCATGTACATATATAATATATATTATTCATATAGTATATCACACTTCCAAAAAATCTACTGGATGATATTTTTTTACAAAGAAACTATCTGATTTAGCCGGTGGGTACGCCCCTGGAATTTCTGGGCCAACTGTGACAGTTCCAAAATATATCTTATAAAGTTATTAACAAACTGTAAAAATTGAAATAATTCGGTCGGTATAATAAGTCGGTAGACGCGTTTTGTAGATATTAATAAAAATCAATTAAAAAAAGTTTAACCGCTGTATCTCGAAAACGAAGCGTTTCGGGACGTATGTTTATATGAACTTTTTTACTTAAAAAATAACAAGGAATCAGTCCTTAAAATTAAATCTATAACTTAAGTTACACTCTGTATAATAACGACGGTAGTGTTTGATTTTTTTCTTTTTATGTCCATATTTAGATTTAATTTTTTTTAACTTACATTATTTTATCATTCTAGGTACCTCGCCAATACCAGAGCGAAGTCCCAAGATCCTCTCTTACCTGATTGGCCCAGTGTTGTGTGTTTTAAGGCTACCCATAATCATTATGTCAACAGTGCAGCGGCTCTTAAATATCGGGACATGTCAGATGAAGTCAAAGAAAAATTAAGAACACTTTTTCGGAAAGGACATAGCCCCGCATCTTCCCTACACTGCATTAAAACTGACCTTTTACTCCAAAATAGTGAAAATTATTATGAATTAGCAGCTGATAGCTACTATGTACGTTCAATTTCAGTTGTTTACAAGTTTTTTGAAAAAGAGTTTGTTGAAGAATATGGTAGTTATTCCGGAGATAAAATGATTGAAAATCTGGCACTCAAGTTACAAGAGTACAGTAAGGAAAGTCATGAAGGAACAGCAAGGATTTTTAAAAGCAAATATGACAATCATTATTTCGTTGTTTTATGTACCCCTATTATGGTACGTACTCATAAAAATATTAGCCAATGTCGTGAGTTAGTAATGATTGATGCATCAGGGGTATGGATAAACAACGACATCGTGTCTATTTTTTCGTTACACCAACAGTAGCTGGCGGCTTACCAGTTGGAGTCATAATCACTGATTGTGAGAGAGAATGCGTTTTGATGAAGCATTGGCTGAATTTCGAAATATTTTGCCCAAAGATTCTTTTTAAACAAAATTATCCTACTGTTTTTTAACAGATAATGATTTAAAAGAAAGAAAACCTCTTAAAAAACTTCCCTGAGTCAGTGTTGTTATTATGCCAATTTCACTTTCTAAAGGCATGTTGGACGTGGATATGTAACTGTAAACATAACATATTAAAAACACATCGACAGGAATTGTATTTCTTAATCAAAAATATTGTTTATGCAGTAACTGAAGATGAGGCATTAAGACATCATGATATTCTCCTGTCTAATCAAATATATAAGATATACCCATCATTTCAGAAGTACTATTTGGAATTATGGAAAAACAAAGAAGATTGGGCTACATGCCATAGACAAAAGTTTCTGCTTAGAGGTAGCAATACAACAAATTATAATGAAGTTGTATTCAGAATAATGAAAGACTGTATTTTAAACAGACTCATGGCTTTTAACCTGGCACAGCTAGTAGATTATATCATGACACGTTATGAAATGTATATGGAGAAACGTCTGATTGATTTTGTTAATGGCCGATACCCCACTTCCATGTTAATTAGAATGCTTCCAAAGATAACGGATGGAGTTCCACATGAAATTGAAAAGTTTCTTGAATTTGATAATGTATTTCAAGTTACTAGTGCTAAAAGTCAAGAGAAATATCTTGTTGATATATCTAGTGGGACTTGCTCTTGCATTAAAGGTCAGACAGGTAATTTGTGTTCTCACGCATCATCTGTTATTTTACATTTAGAGAATCATATGGAGGCTGGTTTCAACTTAGTTACAGAGAAATCAAAATTTTTGATGTATTTTATAGCTACTGGGAATAATTGCTCAAAGGATTTGCTAAGGCCCCTTCAATGCTTACCAGTTAAAACCAATCAAGAATCGGAGGGTAAATATTACAATAATTTGAACACATCGAACAACATTTTAGTTAAAAATCAGTCAACTGAAATTAATACTGAACCTTCAGATTCAATACAATTGTTGGAAAATAAACTTGAACTGACAACAGAAGAAAAAGACAATTTTAAAAATTTAATTACTAGAATTAATGATGGGATTGAAAAAGAACCAAATATTTACGTTCCAGCAGTAAAAAAATGTTGGAAAATGCTAATAAATTTGCGTCAACAGAAACTGGATTAATCTCTGCGTTACACACTTTTGGAACATACAGAGGCTTACTTCCTACCAGAACAAATCAAAACAACCAAGAAGGAAACATTCTTCATTGATTGGTGTCCAACCAACTGCAATTGGCAGAAG